AACAAACAAAATAACATCTTACGAGCTTTAGCCAGCACATCTTGGGGTCAACAAAAGGAGACTTCACTCCTAACCTACAAAGCCACTGGACGTCCCATCATCAATTATGCCAGTCCCATTTGGTGCCCAAACCTCTCCTCTACAGGTTACCAAAAGCTCCAAACCTCCCAAAACCAGGCACTTTGCCTAGCTACAGAATACCACCTCATGGTGCCCATTAACCATCTCCACGAAGAAACCAAAGTTCTTCCTTATTCGAGACACAAACATCATCATCATCGCACCTCCTCCTGGCTTTGACATTACTCCTTCCCCTCGAAGACACCAGTTGCGGAACCATCGACCGCATTCAGAAGATGCCCATAGACTTCATGGAGTTGGCTTCGCTGTCAGACACATGCTACTCCACAACATCCCTGAGTCTCCTCAAGGGATCAGTAAAAGGCTTATGACCTGGCGAAAGGAAAGGACCTATTTCCACTCTCATAAGTGCCTACGCTCCCACCCTGGATGCAGATGACAACACCAAAGATGCCTTATATAATTCGCTTGACACTGCACTATCCAGAATCCCTCCAGTTGACAAACTGGTCCTCATAGGCAATTTTAACGCTAGAGTAGGCACCGATGCCAGACTCTGGCATGGAGTTTTTGGAAATCACAGCATCAGGAAATTAAACAACAATGGCCTAAGGCTCCTCTCGCTGTGCTCCGAACACCAGCTGGTCACGACAAACACAATCTTTCAAATGAAAAACAAGCACAAAGCATCTTGGATGCACCCCCGGTCCAAACATTGGACGACATCATCACTCGCCAACAAGACCAACACGATTTCTCCATAACCCATGCCATGCGCAGAGCCGAATGCTGGACCGACCGTAGGTTGATCAGATCCAAATTCAATTATAGAAATCTGTCCACCACACAAAAAAGCAGCAGCCTACAAAATGACTTAACCGCAGGGCCCTCGAATCTCATACCTGTCAACCCCTTATCAGTGCCCTACTGTTCTGCCTCACGGCAGGTGTTCTGCTTCACGGCAGGCGTGGGGGTGTGTGTACACAGGAATTTCCTGTTTGGAGGTTGGGTTTGGTCACGTGACCAGGAAGTTACGATTTAAGATTCCCTCTCAGCCACGCGGCAAGGTGTCAGCAATTACACAGAGTACAAAATGGAGGCACAAATAACATCTCAGTGTAGGCAGCTGCATCTGTTCATTGTGGGACTTTAAGAAGCATTGTCTGTAAGTTCGTCTATGTTCTTATAATACTGGGTATGCTGTTATAATGTTAGAATGACCGTTATAATGCTGTAAATGCCTTTATAATGCTGTTAAATTGTTATGATAAATATGAGGCCTAGTTAACAACGAAGCCTGCCACTTGTCTTATTGTGAATGTTACTTGTAATTGAACTAGTAGAGTCAGACTTGTACCCAGGTAACCTTAAAGCGATCTTGAGAGCAGCATGGTGATTACACGATGTATCCTTATTTAACACAGTAGCTTATTCTCTTGTATAGCTATTCAATACTAATGTAGGTACCTGGTCCATCCAGGATCTATTGTTGAGTTTCATGTTATCTAAGACAATGTTATGATGCTGTAGTGTTCATTCATTGTATTGATATTTTCAAGTATTAACAGATGCTGTATTTGTGCTGTGTTTTTCCATCAGTTTTACCTCATTCAATTCATTAAATAAGTTTGGAGTCGGATGTTCACCCTGGCTATGAAGGTTTATTGAATGCGAGGTTATCTACTCAGATAGTGGTGCAGCGCAGCGCACAGCGAGGCCGAGATACCTACCTTATTACAGACCAACTCAAACCTTATTAGTCACCCTGTGCCCTTACAAATCTCAACGTTCGTCCTATAAAGTCCCATTACAAGAGAGAAACACAAACAAATATATATTTTTTGCCCGTATTGAAACGACTGCATGCCATATGGACCTGAAAACTAAATTTCCCTGTCCAAGAATACGGGTAAACCATATGGGTTGACAGGTATGGAATCTCTAGACTATGTTAAATCGAACCTGGATCTTGCTCATGATTTTGGAAATCTTTTTAGTGACCCCTGCTACGTATGGCCATACATAGTAGGAGTCAAATTCGTCATCTGATCCCATCTGTGAAGGATGTGATCCCTGACATGCAATATCCCGGCGTCTACAAACTAAGCTGTACTCTTTGGTTCTTTTGGTCAAGTCATGTAGGTAGAACTAAAATAAAATAAATAAAATAGAGTATGGATTCCTGCAGTCACGAAAGCTTCAAATAAAAACTAAGCTGTGTCTGCAGCAGTAGTTACATTGTGGAAACTAAGCGATATGTCTCGGACCGTGTTCGTGAACACAAGGCAGATCTGAAACACAGTAGGACTAATACCTCAGCCGTGGCTGATCATTGTTTTAATGCAGTGGGCTCACACAAATTTGATTTCTCTAAGACGAAGGTACTTTGCAAGCCCACTAGCTATCAACAAAGATTCGTTCATGAAGCCATCCATATATATAGACACAGACATAATTTCCACCGAGAAGATGGGTAAAAACTGAGCAATCATTTGAAAGACGCTATTAACCAGTTTAAGTCATAATTGGCTATGATGTTCCCATCCTACCACCTTCCGATGTTAGTTGTGCTTCATGCCCATTTCAAACCTTGCGCTGTCAGTCACTTCGCATGCCGACCTCTTGGCTGCGGCTCTGCGATCTCCCATTAACATGCTAATCTCTCTTATAGATGTTAATTTTCACCTGGCAGCCCATTGATTGGTGGAAAACCAACCACCGCTGGGCTCGCTGCCAAACACTTTCCTTATCATTGGCTGCTGAATTTTTTCTGTTATTTTTATTATTTTCTTTGAACCTATCTACGTGACTTTACCGAAAGACCCAATAATATGAAATCCTACAGTCACAAAAGCTTTAAGTCAAGATCTTACCAAAGCCTTTGACACAGTTGACCGAGACATCCTCTGGGCAGTGCTCAAGAAGTTTGGTGTTCAAAACAAATTCATCAACATTCTCAAACACTTTCTTGACCGCATGCAGGTACGTGCACTCGTATGTGGACTACAGTCCCCCTCTTTCCCTGTGAATTAGAGGTGATACAGGGATGTGTACTGGCCCCAGTGATATTCAACCTATTTATGATGGCAGTCACCCTCCTCTCCCACAAATCCTTCAAGGCAGATGATGGTATATAGCTACAATTCTGTCTTGATGCCTACAGGCTAAGACCAACACAATAGTCATCAACTTTGAAGAGCTACGGTATGCTGAAGACTGTGCTACCCTCCTTGCGCACAGCCCAACGGCCAAGCAACATGCCTCAGATGCTGTGTCTTCTATTTACCGCTCCGTGCGCCTTTTGGTCAACACAAAAAGAACTGAGGTCATCATTCAGGAAAGATCTCCATCATCCACTCTCCCCCCTTCTCCCTGAGTTTAACATCGACGGTGTGCCCCTCAAGTTTGTACCTCGGCAACGTATTGAAACCCCACCCAAGGCCTCAACAGCCTTTGGTAGACTGCGCTCTCGGGTCTTCGAGAAGAACAACCTGAGCACACTGATGATAGCTGCAGTCCACCTGGCAGTCTGCATGTCAACGTTACTCTATGCTCTGAAGCCTGGACAACCTACCCCCTCACATCGGACGCCTCGAGGCTTTCAACATCAGGTGCCTCCAGTGGATCATCGGCATCATCTGGCAAGGAACATGTCCCTTGCGTTGATATACTGAGACAATCAGCATGGAAGCAACCCTAGCAAAGAGGCATCTACGGTCGGTTTGGCCACGTCATTCAGATGCCCGGCAGTCAACTACCTCGTCAGGCGCTCTATGCACAACTCTCGGAAGCCAGCCAAAGACCAGGCGGTCAAAAAACTGAGGTATAACGATTAGCTGAAGGGGACACTAAAGAGGTGCAACATCAAGCCCAGCGGCCTTGAGGCAGCTGCAGCCAACCACCCACTATGGCGCTCCTTATGTGATACCTTGAAAAACAATGGCACCCAGCAGCGGATACTGCGTCGACAGCGCAGACACCAACACACTGTACCAAAAGCATCCCAGCTGTTGATGATGCAGTCATTCCCCCCCTTCTCTTTGCTTGCAAAAACGTGGATACCTCTAATGGAACATCTGCACCAGTTAGACAGATTCAGGCTGATCTTCCTACGATCCATCCAGGGTTTAACCAGGCTGGATTGTGTGAAGAGCTCACAATTCCTTGAAAGATCTGGACACAGTTCCATCGATGAGCTCCTCCGGCAGGCTGGACAAGAGATGGAGCTGATGTGGAACAGGAGGATGTGGAGCTGAGTGGACTTGCCGAAGACCGGTACAAGCGGAGTCAATATCGGCCTATGTGGAGGAGGTTCGTAAAGGACTGGGCATTGCCAGGCTAGGTGCAAGCTGAGGCTACTGGGCAGTTGGAGGCAGTCATCCTCCAGCAACAATGGAGGGTGGAGGAGCGACGCTCACAACAAAGATTGGAGCGATGAGCAGATAAAATGCAGCGACTAGGCACAGTGCGGAGCACAGGTGGTGCATCTGCCAGTGCCAGCCTTCATAGGTGCTCCTCGCTACAAGCACGTACACAAACAGTCTTTTACAGGCTATACGAGAGGTCTTTGAAGGTGAGAAGGTGATGATGAGTGCGGGTGGGTGGGTGAGGAGGTGAGGGTGAATGTGAGTGAGTGAGGGTGAGTGAGGGTGAGGATGAGTGAGTGCGAGCGAGTGTGGGTGAGTGAGGGTGAGTGAGTGTGAGCGAGTGAGGATGAGGGTGAGTGAGGGTGAGTGAGTGTGGGTGAGTGGGTGAGTGAGGGTAAGTGTGGGTGAGTGAGGGTAAGTGTGGGTGAGGGCGAATGGGGGTAGGTGAGTGAGGGTGAGTGAGGATGAGTAAGGGTGAATGAGCGTGAGTGAGGGTGGGTGATTGAGTGGGTGAGGGTGTGAGAGTGAGGGTGAGTGAGTGAGGGTGCTCACCTCACGATTGTCACGGTCGGCCTGCACCAGCGTCTCGTTGAGGCACGGCTCCACGTAGTGTAGGAAGTCGTTGTACTGCACTCAACACGCACAGACAAAGATCCCCTGCAGCCTTACCAGAGAGTTGGGGAAAGTGCTGGTAGTGAGTGGCACCTATCAAGGCCGGCATGGCACACGAGGCAGTGGGTTGCCAACACCATGCCCGGCCGCCTTTGTCTCCCCAGTGGTGATGTTTATTACACACAGCACCAGGTCCTCATTTGAGGCTGAGTCAACCAAGGGTAGGCCCATGACCGGTTCAGATAATCGTCATGAGTGATCGTGGTGGCCGTGAGTGGGAATCGAACCCGGGTTGCGGTTTTTCCTAGTGTATTGCAGTGCTAACCACGACACCATCGCTCACAAAAACAGCAACGCTCTCACACACACACATACAGACACACACATTGACCGACTGACCTCACTCACACTCATGGTCCTCATTCTCACTCATGGACCTCACTCATGGACCACACTCACACTCATGGACCTCACTCATTCATTCACCTCACTCATACTCATGGACCACACTCACACTCATGGACCTCACTCATTCATTCACCTCACTCACACTCATGGACCACACTCACACTCATGGACCTCATTCATTCACCTCACTCACACTCATGGACCACACTCACACTCATGAACCTCACTCATTCATTCACCTCACTCACACTCGTGGACCTCACCCCGATGATGTTAAAGAAGTCATTGTCTCCGAGTGTCTCCAGGATCGAGATGACGGTGCGCTTGGCGATGGTCATGCGCAGGCCCTTCATGCTGCCACTCACGTCCACCAGGATGACCACGTCCTTGGGAGACGTGGACGCCTGTATGAACCTGGCGACAAGGTGGAGAGACGAGGTGGACGAGTGACGAGAAGGTGGAGCGAGGCGGCAGAGGTGGGAGGTGGAGCAAAGAGGTGGAACGAGGAGTTGGAGAAGATAAGATGGAGTCGAGGTGGTGGAGTGAGGGGGTTGAGCGAGGTGGAGCTCACCATTACAAGTCGATCACCATCACCACCCCATCACCATCACTCACCTCCGTCAACACCATCACCCCCGTCATCACCATCGCCCCCATCATCACCATCACCATCCCAACCATCACCATCACCACCCCCATCATCACCATCACCACCCCATCACCATCACTCACCCCCGTCATCACCATCACCACCCCCGTCATCACCATCACCACCCCCATCACCATCACCACCCCCATCACCATCACCACCCCCATCACCATCACTCACCCCCATCATCACCATCACCACCCCCATCACCATCACTCACTCCCGTCATCACCATCACCACCCCCATCACCATCACTCACCCCCATCATCACCATCACCACCCCCATCACCATCACTCACTCCCGTCATCACCGTCACCACCCCTATAACCATCACTCACCCCCATCATCACCATCACCATCACTCACCCCCATCATCACCATCACCACCCCTATAACCATCACTCACCCCCATCATCACCATCACTCACCCCCATCATCACCATCACCACCCTTATAACCATCACTCACCCCCATCATCACCATCACTCACCCCCATCATCACCATCACTCACCATCCTCTGTTCCTGCAGTCGTACTCAATGACCCCTCCTTCTGAGTTTTCATCCGCCTCCCACTTTACTCCTGAATCACAGATAGACACAGAGAGATAGACACGGTGAGATAGACATGGTGAGATAGACATGGAGAGATAGACACGGTGAGATAGACACAGAGAGATAGACATGGAGAGATAGACACGGTGAGCCAGACACAGAGAGATAGACACAGAGAGATAGACACGGAGAGATAGACACGGAGAGATAGACACGGAGAGATAGACACGGAGAGACAGACACAGAGAGATAGACACGGAGAGATAGACACGGTGAGACAGACACGGTGAGACAGACACAGAGAGATAGACACAGAGAGATAGACACAGAGAGACAGACACAGAGAGATAGACACAGAGAGATAGACACAGAGAGATAGACACGGTGAGATAGACACGGAGAGATAGACACGGTGAGATAGACACGGAGAGATAGACACGGTGAGACAGACACGGTGAGACAGACACAGAGAGACAGACACAGAGAGATAGACACGGAGAGATAGACACAGAGAGATATACACGGAGAGATAGACACAGAGATACAGACACAGAGAGATAGAGACAGAGAGTAAGACAGAGAGATTTATACGGAGAGACAGAGACAGATCAGTAGGCAGACAGAGAGACAGAGACGCAGAGAGAGCTATAGACAGAGAGAGCTATAGACAGACAGAGAGCTATAGACAGAGAGAGCTATAGACAGACAGAGAGAGCTATAGACAGACAGCGAGAGCTATAGACAGACAGAGAGAGCTATAGACAGACAGAGAGCTATAGACAGACAGAGAGAGCTATAGACAGACAGAGAGAGCTATAGACAGACAGAAAGAGCTATAGACAGAGAGAGCTATAGACAGACAGAGAGAGCTATAGACAGACAGAGAGAGCTATAGACAGACAGAGAGAGCTATAGACAGAGAGAGCTATAGACAGACAGAGAGAGCTATAGCCAGACAGAGAATTCCCAGTGGGGTGAGGTCCACCTGCTCGCTCACCCTACACCAATCACTCCACACCGCTCACACCAAACCGCTCACCCCGCCCGCTCTCCCCTATCCGCTCACCCCGCCCGCTCACCCCGCCCGCTCACCCCGCACCCCTCACCCCACCCGCTCACCCCACCCGCTCACCCCACACTGCTCACCCCGCCCGCTCACCCTACTCGCTCACCCAGACCCCTCACCCCACACCGCTCAACCCGCACCGCTCACCCTACTCGCTCATCCCGCCCAATCACCCCGCACCCCTGACCCCGCCCGCTCACCCTACTCGCTCACCCAGACCCCTCACCCCACACCGCTCAACCCGCACCGCTCACCCAGACCCCTCACCCCAGACCGATCACTCCGCCCGCTCACGCCACACCGCTCACCCCGCCCCTGCTCACCCCCTCCCTCTCACGCCACACCGCTCACCCCGCCCCTGCTCACCAGGGTATTGGCGGAAGAATCCGTCGACGCTGCCGAAGTACTGCCAGGTCAGCGTGGGGTCGCGCCGGGAGTTGTTCACGAAGACAGCGTTTAGCGCTGACGACCACAGCGCACCATTGATGACCGCCGGATCTGCGGGGTCACGAGGGTGGGGTCATCGGGTGACGAAGTCATTGGGACTTGGGGACATGGGGGGATTTGTTCAGGGGTCAATGGGTCGTGGGTTCATTGGGTCATTGAGTCAATGGGCCGTGGGGTGATTAGGCCATGTATGCTGGGGCACACCGTTTTTAATCCCTTACATTAACATAAGCTCCCCCGCCCATGCTGCTGACACTTGGGCTACGCCCATTTTAAACCTTTATAAACAGTTTGCCTTTAGAGGCGAACCTATGTTTTTTTTTCCTATCCTGATGACGACCGCTTGTGTTGTGATCGAAACGGCGTAGTTTTTTGTTATTTTCTTTGAAACCTATCTACATGACTTTACCGAAAGACCCAAATAATATGAATTCCTGCAGTCACGAAAGCTTTAAGTCAAGGCGAGATATAACTTTGTAAATAGTTCATTTTGTGCAACTAAGAAATAAATAAACAGTTTTTGATTTCAAACACGCGTCAGACTTATTGCTCCCACAGGTTAAGGTATTGCTTATTTTTTGGTACAAGAAAGCTGCGCCTACAAAGTGTACCGGCATGCAGTGTTGTGGGATGCTGTTGGTACGAATTATGCAATGCAAAATTTAACTATTTGTTGTTGATATTTTAACTCACCCACCCACTCACCAACCCATTCATCCACCCAATAACTCACCCACTCACTCACCTACTCACCCATTCAACCACCCACTCACACACACCCACCCACTCAACCACTCACCCATCCACTCACCCACCCCTACTCACCCATCCAGCCATTCATCCACTCACTCACCTATTCACCCACTCACTCACCCACCTACTCACGCTCTCACCCACCCACCCAACCATTCATCCACCCACCCACTCACCCACTCTTTGGGTCTTTCGGTAAAGCCATAGATAGTTATTTTTACCCAATAAAAAAAAAGATTTCCTGAGGTTTGTGTTCGTGTGTTTGCTTTTGTAAACCTGGTGTCTATAGCTAGCTGTCCACTGCAACGTTTGCATTACTCTTTCTCTCTCTCCACGTCTCCAACTTCGTCTGCGCCCAAGCGAAGTTGGCGGTGTACAAGACGAGGAAAAAGACGCTGCAAGGCGACACTGACGGCTGCTCTGTGGTGCTTCCAGTGTTCAGGGGCCTGCTCAAGGCGCGGTTCCGGCTGGAGCACGCCGCGTTCCACTCGCATGCCGGTGACACTTTGCGCGTCTTCTTCGAAAGCTGGGGGGACTGGAAAAGCCCCTCTCTGTACCAGCATGAGCGGCACCCTCCTGTTCACCGGGGGCGTGGCGTACACGACGACCACCACCACGTGACGTTTTTTTTGTATTTGGGTTATACTGGTAGGAACCTCCTGGTTACACCACCAGCCCACAGGGGATCATTGTGTCCGTCCGTCGTGCATCCAAAAATGGGAGGGGTGGGGCTGGGTGGAGAGGGGAGGGTGGGGAGGGGCTGGGTGGGGAGGGAGGGGCTGGGTGGGGAGGGGATGGTGGGGAGGGGAGGGTGGGGAGGTGCTGGGTGGGGAGGGTGGGGAGGGGCTGGGTGGGGAGGGTGGGGAGGGGTTGGGTGGGGAGGGTGGGGAGGGGCTGGGTTGGGAGGGAGGGGCTGGGTGGGGAGGGTGGGGAGGTGCTGGGTGGGGAGGGTGGGGCTGGGTGGGGAGGGTGGGGAGGGGCTGGGTGGGTAGGGTGGGAAGGGGCTGGGTGGGGAGGGTGGGGAGGGTGGGGCTGGGTGGGGGGTGGGAGGGGTGGGGCTGGGTGGGGGGTGGGAGGGGTGGGGCTGGGTGGGGAGGGGCTTGGTGGGGAGGGGCTGGTCACCAACGTTTAACCTCAAACTCAACGTTTAACCTACTCACGCCGGCTTGTGCCCGCCCTCACAGTTGGGCATATTTGCGGAATACACCACGTGGTGCCGTTGACCCTGGCCATTGACCGAGCAACCCAACGTTCCTACCAGCTCCCTCCACAGGAGTGTCTTTTTTGCTGGTGACTTTGGGTTTCGCATCGAAATCGCATCCAGTATTGTTGCTGCTGACGGCAATCAAAGCGGTTTAAAAGCCAAAGGTCTCTCCATGTCTCTCGTCTGTCTCATCTCTCTCCGCTGGTCAACAGCAGCGGCAGAGCTAACGCTGATGGGAGCCCCACCCCTCCACCATCTCCTTCTCCCTCCTCCCCCCACCTGCTCCCCACCTCCTACCTCCGCCTCCTCGACCTCCTCCATCCTACTCCCCCACCTCCTACCGCTGCCTCTTCCTCGCCCTCCTCCTCGCTCTGCCCCTCCTCTTCCCTCTTATCTATCTCCTCCTGTCCCCCCTCCCTCGTCGTCGCCCTCCTCCCCCCTCCTCTCCCCCCACTCCTCCCCCCTTCTCCACCATCTCCCCTCCCCTTCCTCACTCCCCGGGTCCCCCTTTTCGGCCAGACGAGCAAGGCAGCCCCCCCCCCCCATTCATTAGCCGGGATGACACAAAGACAAAGATCCCCCGTATAGCCTTAAACAGACTGTTGGGGCAAGTGCTGTTATCAAGCAGCAGCGCCTTTGCAGGCCGGCACTGTGGCACACGAGGGACAAAGTGGGTGGCCAGCACCACGCTCGGCCGCCTTTGTCTCCCCAGTAGCAATGTTTCTTGCACACCACACCAGATACTCATTTGAGGCCCAGTCGACCGAGGGGAGGCCCAGGACCGGTTCAGATAATCGTCAATCGTGATGGTGGTGGCCGGGAGTGGCGATACTTTAGTACACACCGCTACAAACCAGGCACTCATTTGAGTCGACCTCGGGGTGGCTTATCGTCATCATCGCGTGGTCAATTATAGCAGCAGCCAAATACCGTCTCTCTCAACGCAGGATGCCGATTCTCAAATGTGGAGGGGGAAAAGCCGGAGGAGGACCCGGAGAAAAATCCACACGACCATCACGAAGAGAAAGACGGAAACTCCAAATATACAGAAAGCGTCAGGGTCGAGATCAAACCCACGACCTCCTGCATATCATGCGAGGTAGTTAACATCCACGAACCACCGTAATGATGATGAGAGTGAGAGACACGCAAACTCCAGATATGCAACAGACATCGTCAGAGTCGGGATTGAATCCACGATCTCATCTGCACACCATAAGATGCAAACTCCACAGATTCACCCAATGAGGTAGAGCACTTGGTGGGCAGAAGAGCAGTGCTTATGAAGGCTGCTACCGTGGCCGCATGTCCTGTGAGCTGGACAGGCTGGTCGGGACCACGCACACCCGGCCGCCTTTGTCTTCCCCAGTGCTGGTGATTGTTATGTTTGTTCGTTACACACCGCAACAGGTAAAACTAAAATAATAATAATAATTTGAGGCTGAGTTGACCTAGCGCAGGCCCAGGACCTGGGACCGGTTGATGTAATCGCCACTGCTGTTGGCTGCGAGCAGGAATCGAACTTGTGAGTGAACAAGTAGGCATACAGCTGAGAGTACAGGTAGGTGTACAAGTGAGGGTACAGGTAGGTGTACAGGTAAGTGTACAGGTGGGCACACCGGTTATTGTATAGGTATCCATGCAGCTTATTGAGCGTGCGGTGGGGTGTGAGCATGGCAGGGCGAGCGTCGCGGGGGGGGCGAATGGTGAGCGTTGGGGGCGAGCGGTGCGCATTGGGGGCGAGCGGTGAGCGTTGCAGGTGAGCGGTGAGCGCGCCTCACCCTTGTTGTAGACGTTGGTGGGCACCTGTACCCCGCTGAGGCTCGTGTTCACTGACATGTTGTTGTAGTGCTCGTTGGGCTCCAGGCCCAGCTCCAGGCCGTAGTTGTCTCTCTCGTCCTGCATGCTCAGCGCCGTGTAGTAGGGGTACTGCGCACAGACACACGGACAAAGATCCCCCGTGTAGCCTCAACGGGCTGTTGGGGCAAGTGCTGCTAGCGAGTTTCATCAATGAAGGCTGGCACTGTGACATACAAGGTGATGGATACTAAAAACAAGGACAAAGATCCCCCGTGTAGCCTGCAACTGACTGTTGGGGCAAGTTCAGTTAGCGAGCACCTATGAAGGCCGGCACAGCACACGAGTGGGTGGGTGGACAGCACCACGCCCGGCCGCCTTTGTCTCCCTCATGGCGATGTTAACACATCGCACAGGTACTCATTTGAGGCTGAGTTTACTTAGGGGAGGCTCAGAACCGGCTCAGAAAATCGTCACTAGTGTTGGCCGTGAGTGGGAATCGAACCCGGGTCGCCAGGTTCGTAGCGCAGCGCGCTTCCCGCTACACTACCGCTCCCTACACACACACAAACGGACACACGCACACACAGGGACAACAAGAACAACCGCCATTCGCCACTAAGTGGCGGTGACGTCACCACGACGCTTGTGCCAGGCTATGTGCACTTTGAGGCCACGTGAAGTGTCGAACGCCCGCTGGCAGGAGGTCACGGGGCAGACCCAGGTGCCACTGGTCGACTGACTGAGACGACTGGCTGATACAGCACCTGTGTCCCCTACTGTGCCAACTTGCTGTGCTTTAGCCACCCGGAGCTCCACTCGTCGTTGTGAGCGTCGCTCCTCCGCAATCCGTTGTTGTTGGAGGGCGACTGCCTCCAACTGCCCAGTAGCGTCCTTCACGAGCCTCCTCCACAGAGGCCGATCTTGACACCGCTGGTACCAGTCAGCTCCACATCCTCCTGTACCACATCACTCCATCTCTTCTCTAGCCTGTGCCGCGCCCGTTTCGCCCCCTCGATCTGGCCGAACAAAAGCTGTTTAGGCATGCGGTGGCTGGGCATGCGGATTACATGGCCCAGCCAATGCAGCCTTCCCTGCCGGAGGAGCTCACCGATGGGACTTTGTCCAGATCTTTCAAGGATTATGAGCTCCTCACACAATTCAGCCTGGTTAAACCCAGGATGGATCTTAAATGTTTTTAACCAGCGACGATGTTGCATTAGGGGGGTCCACGTTTCGCAAGCGTAAGGGAGGTAGCTTCCACACAGCGTTACTCAACCGATGAAAATATAATGCCGCTCGACTGATTCCGAGTGAGACCTCTGCTGTTAAACCGGAGCCGGTCACGAGCACACTGCCCAGGTATGGGAAACTCTCCACTCTCTCGACAACTGCCCTATCACCAATTGGGAGTTTTGGGGGTGGAGGGTTCGATGACCCAGGCAGGTGCGTAGTTTTGGAGGTGCTGATGGTAAGGCCCCACCCTCTTAGTGGTAAGCTCCAGGTTCAGCAGCAACGCCTCCAACTCCTCCTCTGAGTGAGCAGCAATTACCAGATCATCTACATACGTAAACATTGTTGAGCAATAGGGAGCCATCCCTTGACCGCACCTGGGTATCGATCAGCCTCCCATTATATCTGTACCAGATGCAAATTCCTCCGGCACAGCTATTGAAGGCTTCCCGAACTACGTGGTCGAAATAGATGTTAAATAATGTGGGAGCCAGAGTACATCCCTGTCACACACCAAGGTGTACAGGGAATGGCTCTGACTCCCGGCCACATAGTTTTACCCGGGCCCACTCCCCATCATAAAGGTCCTTAATGATCATGAGCAACGGGTCAGGGACTCCAAAAGGACGAAGAACAACCCAGAGCCCAGGCCTACTAATGGTATCATCGGCCTTGGCCAGGTCAATAAAGCAGAGAAGTAGGTCTTGTTGGAATTCCCTACACCTCTGCTGTAGCAGACAGACAGAAAATATGGCATCTGTGCAGGACTGCCCTTTCCTGTAACCGCATTGGGGCTCCGCAAGCCTCTCCTCAGCCTGCCTAGAAAGGTGATGTTGAATAATCATTACCAGGACCTTTCCCGGAAAAAAATTGAGGAGTGAGACGCCCCTATAGTTGTTACAGTCTGTGCGGTCCCCCTTCTTAAAGAGGGGGGCCACCAGGGCATCCTTCCAGTCCTGCGGAACCCGTCCAGTGGTCCAGACTGTTGTTATGATGTCATGTAGGGCAGTCTGTGCACAAACGCCAACCTCCCTCAGTATTTCGCTTGGGAGATCATCTCTGCCCGGTGCCTTTCCTGGTCTCAGACTCTGGATCGCCTTCAGTACTTCCTCAACAAATGGCACCTCAGCCAGCCACTCACAGGGGGTGACTTCTTCCAATATTTGAGGCACCGCAGCCTCATGCAGGGTCATCCCCACTTTGTGCCACGATGTTTTCCTGGCTGAGGGATTTCCCCTCCCCCAGGACCTCATAGAAATGCTCAGCAAATCTGCAAACCTGTTTCTGGGGGTCGGAAATTAGATCACCGTTCTTTCCCCTAATGATGGTAATAGGCGTGGCGCTGCAGGTTATTTTTTTATGGAATTAAAGAGCAATTTGTGATCGCAGGCCATTGAGGCAGATTCCATCTCCTCAGAAACCCGCGACCACCACCCATCCTTGCAGCGCCTCATGGCTCTCCGAATCTCCAAGCGAAGGCTGTGGTAAGCCTCCTCATTCTCTGACGTGGGATGCTGTAGATTATTTGAGTGGGCCTGTCGCTTTTTCTCAGCCAGCTTGAACACCTCCTTTGTCAGCTCGGTTCTCTGGGGAGGTCTAGACCGTGTACCCAAAGGAGCCATTGCAGCGGCATGAGCCACAGTCCTAGAACTCGCCCATTTACCCTCGACATCTGGAGGAGTGGGGGACGATGCCAACCCCAGCCGCAAGCGATGATTAAATTCTCGCTTGCAACTTTCATCAGTTAGCTGAGACCATGCCACTAAGGGTTTGAATGGGGCCCTGGGTGTACACCCACCACTGGAGTGGAAGAATGGCAGGCGCATCTTACAGATGACAAGTCGATGGTCAGTGGGCAGATCAGCTCCACGGTAGGTCCTGGTGTCAAGGACATGGGCCCGCATCTGCTGTTCCGTCCCTATGTAGCCCAGCAGATGTTCTTGCTTGGATCCGGCATGCATCCATGATGTTGTGTGGATGCGTGGATGCGCCGATGCCGGAACAGCATGTTGGAAATTACAAGCCCATAGGCTGCACAAAAAACTAGCAGCCTCCTGCCGTTGTTATTAAAGCTGATCTGGCCCATGCCTTCAAATCACTTCAGACCAGGCGCCAGCATCATACCAACTCGGGCATTGAAGTCACCCAACAAGATGACCCCATCCCGAGGGGCAACTTTAGCCAGCACCTGTGACAGGAGGTCATAGAAGGCATCTGACTAATCGGCCTTGCCTGCATCCCTCCACAGATGTTCGTCTTCAGTGGGGGCATAAGTAACAACGACCACCACTCCTCGCCTCTGGTTGATGGGAAGGCGAGCCCTTCCCACGCACACACCCACACGCACACACAAGGATACCCACACGCACACACCCACACGCACACACAAACTCTCACACACAGGGATACGCACACGCACACACCCACACGCACAACAACAACAACAACAACAACCGCCATTCGCCACTAAGTGGCGGTGACGTCACCACGACGCTTGTGCCAGGCTATGTGCACCATGAGGCCACTTGAAGTGTCGAACTCCCGCTGGCAGGAGGTCACGGGGCATACCCAGGTGCCACGGGTCGACTGAGATGACTGGCTGATGCACCACCTGTGCCCCCTACTGTGCCAACCTGCTGTGCTTTAGCCACCCGGCGCTCCGCTCGTTGTTCTGAGTGTCGCTCCTCCGGCCTCCGTTGTTGTTGGAGGGCGACTACCTCCAACTGCCCAGTAGCATCCTTCACGAGCCTCCTCCACAGAGGCCGATCTTGACACTGCTGGTACCAGTCATCGGCAAGTCCACTCAGCTCCACGTCCTCCTGTACCACATCACTCCATCTCTTCTCTAGCCCGTGCCGCGCCCGCTTAGCCCCCTCAATCCGGCCGAACAAAAGCTGTTTCGGCATGCGTTGGCTGGGCATGCGGGCATAATGACCCAGCCATCGCAGCCTTGCCCGCCAGAGGAGCTCACCGATGGGACCTTGCCCAGATCTTTCAAGGATTTGTGAGCTCCTCACACAATCCAGTCTGGTTAAACCCAGGATGGATCGTAGGCAGGCCAGCCTAAATATTTCTAACCGGCGAAAATGTTCCATTAGGGGGGGCCACGTTTCGCAAGCGTAGAGAAGGGAGGGAATGACCGTGGCCGAGAAGACCTGAAGCTTAGTGCGGAGCGACAGACCAGGTAGCTTCCACACAGCGTTACGCAACCGATGAAAAGATATTGCCGCTCGACTGATTCGGAGTGAGACCTCTGCTGGTAAACTGGAGCCAGTCATAAGCACACTGCCCAGGTATGGGAAACTCTCCACTCTCTCCACAACTGCCCCATCACCGATTGGGAGTTGTGAGGGTGGAGTGTCCGATGGTACAAAATACCCAGGCACACGCACACACACACTCTCACACACAGGGATACGTACACACACACTCTCACTGCTGAATCGACACAATGCTCACCGTCTCCCCCCGTGAGGTGCATGTCCCACCGCCCCACTGCACTGAGCACCACCCACGTTTATCACAGGCACGCTCGCTTGCTCACTCACACAAAGACAAAGATCCCCTGTGTAGCCTTCACAAGCTGCTTGGGGCAAGGGCTGTGCTGTTCGCGTGCAGCTGCTATGGAGGCCGGCACTGTGACACACGAGGGCGGGCGGGCAGCAGCACCACGCGGGGCCGCCTTTGTCTCTCCCCAGTAGCAATGTTTTCACACCGCACCGGGATCTCATTTGAGGCAGCCACCAAGAGAGTATGCAGGCGGTGCAACTGCGCCCATGGACACCCCTGGGGCCCCACGGGACTCACGTGACCCATGCACCCCACGGACTCCATGGACCCCACGGGACCCAGGAGGCCCACGGGGACCGAGGAGACCGAGGTGGCCCGGGGGGGGGGGGAGGGGGAGGAGCCGAGGGGGCGACCTCACCTCGAGGTTTTCGTCGAAGGTGTGGTTCATGTTCGCCTCTTCCGCGGCCTCCACTAGGCGCTGAACACACACACACAGCAACAACATCATCGGCAGCAGCATCAGCAACAATATCATCATCAGCAGCAATATCATCAGCAGCAGCAATATCATCATCAGCAGCAATATCATCACCAGCAGCAGCAGAATCACCATCAGCAGCATCACCACCAGCAGCATCACCATCAGCAGCATCAGCAACAGCAGCATCAGCATCAGAAGCAGCACCGGGGGCCATTAAACGCTCCCCAGAGAAGAGAGAGGATATCACATCGAAAGTGAGGGAGAGTGGAGGGGAGTGGAGTGAGATGAGAGGGGAGAGGGGATATCGCCTCTGAGTCCGTACGGCATCAACATGGTGGACATGATAATGATGGTGCTGATGGTGGGGGTTAGTGGTGGTAATGGTGATGATTATGATGGTGCTGATGGTGGTGGTCATGATAATGATGGTGATGATGCCGGTGGTAGTGGTGGTGATGGTGGTGATGATGATGATCAGTACCATCATGCTCAGTACCATCATCAGAACCATCATCACCATCAGTACCATCATCACTAACACCACCATCAGCACCATCATCATCATCACCACCATCAGTACCATCATTATCAGTACCATCATCATCATTACCATCATCAGTACCATCATTATCAGTACCATCGTCATCAGTACCATCATCATCAGTACCATCATTATCAGTACCATCGTCATCAGTACCATCATTACCATTACCGTCATTATATCACCATCATTATCAGTGCCATCAGTACCATCATCATCACTATCTCCATCATCAGCACCATTATCATCACCACCATCATCATCAGGACCATCATTACGGTACAGGCAGATCGCTGACAAACCTCATCCTCCCCCACGACCCCCCTACCGACCGCCTTTGTCTCCCCAGCGGCGACGATCGCTGCGTACCGCACCTGGAAATTCATTTGAGGCTGAGTCGACCTAGGGAAGGCCAAGCTCCGGTGCAAAGAATGTCTCGTTTACACATCCCACTAGTGGCAGCGTCGGTTTCGACGTTTAGTGTCTCATCCGCAGCAGAGTGAGTCCTTGCTTGAACCAATGTTAGATTGTATTAGTCTGTTGTTGTTATTGTATTCGTTTGGTGTTGTTGATGTTCTTGTTGTTTTTTATGTTCATGTTGTTGATGTTGATGCTGTTGGTGTTGTTGTTGATGTTATATTATATTCGTCTGTTGTTGTCGATGTTCTTATTGATGTTATTGACGTTACATTGTATTCATCTGTCGTTGTTGATCTTCTTGTTGTTGATGTTGTTGATGCTGTTGATGTTGTTGTTGATGCTGTTATTGTTATCTTTGTTGCTGTTCGTGCTCTTGCTGTTGTTGCTGTTTGTGATGTGCGCCGCGGAAGGAGTTTGCACGCTCCGCTGGGTTTTGTTACCCCCCCACGGCGACTCGCGTCTCGGTGCGTCGCCACGGCTCCAGTGGGCAGTTGGGGCCGTGCATCTTCGATTGCACAACACCGCGCCGGCTTATTGAGCAGCAGCCGCTTCAGAATGCGTAGCGCAGGAGGAACCCGATGAGCTATGAAGCTCTTTTTTTAATCACAGATGTCCAGTAAAGGGGGCCCATGGGGTTAAAACGTCACAACAACTAACAACAACCAACACAATACACACAAATACACGAAGTATAGAAAAAGTAAGCAAATCACTTATATTTCGATTTAAAGCTTTCGTGACTGCAATTATATACCATGAGAGATTCGTTCATGAGGCCATTCACATATACAAGCACAGAGACAATTTCAACCGAGAAGATGGATTCTGGCTTAGTAACCATTGGAAAGATGTTTTAAACCATTTCTGTTCTTAATTAATTGTATTTTTACGATGACCTTCAGACCGGAGCTCTTTGGCCAGCATTGACTCTTAATACCTCTCACACCACGGTTAATGGTATGGTTTACAACATGGAGTATAATAGCGCCTCGCAGCTGTCTCTCTCCCCCTCCTCTGTTCCGACCATGGATGAACTCGTCCGTCTGAACGGGGCCCGTAGCTATCCATGGTGCTAAAGTTGAGGGTAAGAATCCACCCATTTTTTCGCCATATAGCATTGTGATATATAACGACTTATTGTTGGTAGCTTAGCTGATTGGAGAATATAGAGTTTATTGATAACATTAAGGTAATTTATATTTTAGTTTTTTATTGGTTCACTATATAGTACTGTGAATAGCTCAGATGTGTAGGCCTTGACTTCAACATAGTCATTTCTGTGAGCAGTCACTAGCTAATCACTCAGTTATTTCAATGCTAAATTCGCCTAGTTATTTCAATGCTAAATTCTCCTGTTTGATTTGTACTAAGTGCCTCGGTGAATGTGTATGCTCTGACTTTAACGTAGCTATTTCTGTGACCAGTTACAAGCTAATCACTCAGCTATTTCAATGCTAAATTCTATGCTAATTCCTTTGTCAAGGGGTGCCTCTGCGGATGTGTATGCTTTAACTTAGCTATTTCAATGCTAAATTCTATGCTAATTCCTTTATCAAGGGGTGCCTCTGCAGATGTGTATGCTTTAACTTTTAACATAGCTGTTTCTGTGACCAGTCACAAGCTAATCATTCAGCCATTTCAATGCTAAATTATATGCTAATTCCTTTGTCAAGGCGCTTTGTTCCTCTCACACAGCTTAAAGGCCGTGATCTGAACGTGGCTCTTTCACTCCAGCGCTGTCCTACCAGACAGTCTCGTCCCTTCACCTGATGAAGGCCGCTTGTGTTGTGGCCGAAACGTCGTGAGAATATTATTGTGTTATTTTATTTTATCAATTTATTATTTTATTCTCATTCTACATGACTTTACCGAAAGAACCAAAGAAGATGAAATCACTTATAGACAAGGACTACTCTACTTACGACCGAGTTGGGTTCCAGGGGATTGTTCGTAAGTAGATTTGTTTGTAAGAACCAACTTTACTCCCGTCGATTCCAAACGTGTTGTACGGCGTGTACACTAAACACGAGAATGGTTTTAGAAGTGGTATCTGGTTCTTCATGTTTTGCAGATGTAGATGCCACTGGTTCTTTATTTTCTGTAGATGCCACTGGTTCTTCATGTTCTGCAGATGTAGGTGCCACTGGTTCTTCATGTTCTGCAGATGTAGATGCCACTGGTTCTTCATGTTCTGCAGCTGTAGATGCCACTGGTTCTTCATGTTCTGCAGATGTAGATGCCACTGGTTATTCATGTTCTGCAAATGTAGATGCCACTGCTTCTTCATGATCTGCAGATGTAGATGCCACTGGTTCTTCATGTTCTGCAGATGTAGATGCCACTGGTTCTTCATGTTCTGCAGATGTAGATGCCACTGGTTATTCATGTTCTGCAGATGTAGATGCCACTGCTTCTTCATGATCTGCAGATGTAGATGCCACTGGTTATTCATGTTCTGCAGATGTAGATGCCACTGGTTCTTCATGTTCTGCAGATGTAGATGCCACTGGTTCTTCATGTTCTGCAGATGTAGATGCCACTGGTTATTCATGTTCTGCAGATGTAGATGCCACTGCTTCTTCATGTTCAGTAGATGTAGATGCCACTGGTTATTCATGTTCTGCAGGTATAAGATGCCACCACCGCCATCTTTTGCGCGGCGGTAGAACTTACGACTCTCGGTCCGAACAGACAACAGGACATAATGGACAGTTTTGTGTGTACCTCTGAAAGTTCGTAGTCGAATGTTCGTAAGTAGACAAGTCCCTGTATCTACAAATAACCAGGGGTTCGGGTGTTAAATTCCGGAAGGCAGACCTGGGTCATACTGCAGGCACAGTAATCATAAATGTACTGCCCACACATAATCTGCAGAGCCAGTGGTGGAAACTCCACGTTCCTATGGCGGGGACGACAATCCAGCCAAATGAGCCCCATTGAGCCGTTGGCACTCAACCTCCTGGTTGCAACTTCAGCGGAGCCAGCGGTGGAAATTTTGCATTCCTATGACAGGGACGAGTATGACAAATGAGCCCCAATTGAAGCACTGGTGCTCATATGCTGATTATAGTAGTGTATAGACCATGGCTCGTGATGATAATGATGATATGTTATCGAAGTGAGAAGGATCGAGGAGGCCTTCATCCAGCAGTGGAAAGGCCATGGCTGATGATGATTATCTTAATTGTCTGAATCTGAAGTGCTGGCGCAGTGGTTAGTACTCCGTGTCTCTCCCTCTGTCTCTCCCTTTATCTCTCTGTGCCTCTCCGTGTATGTCCCTCTGACTCTCTCTCTGTCTCTCTCTCTCTCTCCATGTCTATCCCTCTGTCTCTCACTCTGTCTCTCACTCTGTCTCCCTCTCTGTCTCTCTCTCTTTGTCTCTACCTCTGTCTCTGTCTCTCTTTCTACGGTGCCAGGGAGGATCGGCCCCACCAGTACTTACGCTTCCAGCGGCTCATTCCAACAATTTTCAGGAGACTGGGGGTGCCCTTCTACACCAGCAGCTTCGTAAATGGGGTGCCTTACCTGGCTAACAAGCGCCACGACCTCGCCAACTTCGTCTGTGCCCAAGCGAAGATGGCGGTGTACAAGACGAGGAAAAAGATGCTGGAAGGTGACACTGACGGCTGCTCTGTGCTTCCAGTATTCAGGGGCCTGCTTAAGGCACGGCTCAGGCTGGAGCACGCATACCACACACATGTCGGTGATTTGCACGTCTTCTTCGAACGCTGGGGAGCCGGAAAAGCCCTCTGTACCAGCGTGGACGGCACCCTCATGTTCACCATCTGAAGCGCTCTCTCGTCACCATGGCGTGCGCGATGGCCACCACAACCACGTGACTTTTCTTTCGTGTTGTGCGCGGTGCTTTTAGCGCCACAGCGCGTGGATTTATAGCGTTTATTTTCATTTGTGTTGCTGGTGACTTTGTGTATTTCATATCGGAATCGCCTCCAGTGCTGTTGCTGCTGGCGGCAATAAAAGTTGTTTAAAAGTCAAAAGTCTCTTCCATTCTCTCTCTCCATCACTTTCTCTGACT